CGGGCGGGCCTCCAGGCCCGGGCTTTAGGACACGAACCCGGGGCCTGCGGGACAGACTGACGTGAGATTGCAACGCAGAAGTCACACCGCGGGGATGGCGTTGGCGCGGGCCTGGAAGCAGATGTCCTGGTTCTACTACCAATACCTGCTGGTGACGGCGCTCTACATGCTGGAGCCCTGGGAGCGGACTGTGTTCAGTATCCTGCTCGGGCCGCGGGTGCGGGGGCCGGGGCGGGAGCGCGGGGGCCCGGGCGGCATCCTCCCAGGCCCAGGGCCTGGAGGTGGGGGGATCGGAGGGCGGAGAGGTGGTGCGGAGGGCGAAGAGGTGGTCCGGGGCGCGCGCAGCGCGCGCAAGGACTGGTCTCTTTACTGCGGGCGCGAGGGGCGGAGGTCCGGGGCTAGGGCGGCACTCCCGGTTGGGGCGGGGGTCGGAGAGCGAGAACTCTTGAGATCCGAGGTAGAAGCGTCTTTATCACTGGAAGAAATTCCCTAGGGCGATGGCTAACCTGGCCTGTCCTCGCCCGCACTAAGGCCGCGCCTGTCTTTGGGTCAGTCCCCTGTTCCTGTGGGAGGCAGGGAACGTGTAAGTGGAGAAAATCGCTCCGGGCTTGGACGCCTTTGACCTTTAACTGTCCCTGATTTAACTGGCACTGATCCTAATTAGAACGCCTAACTAGTTTTCCAGCCTTTTAGTCAGGTTGTGAATTTGTGCTCATGGCAGCCCAATACAGATTTTTGAAAGCAGTTCGTTATTGTGCCTTTTTGGTCTTCAAGATGGGTAGTTTAAAGAGTGTGTTTTATGCTTTAATTTGCTATTTGCACAGTCCGTAGAAGTAGGGCCTGAAAAGGAATTTGCGGTTAGTTGTAGACTGCTTTAGTAGAATGCTAATGCATATTTGTTAATAATTATTGAATGTTTATATGAGCCAAGTAATTGTGCTAAGCACTTTGCCTGAATTTACTCATCTTACTTTCCTAACAATCTCAATTAGTAATTTAAGCTTCTGAAGATAGGCTCCCTAAAGTCCATGACATTTGTCTGTTCATATCCCTTGATACTATTCTTGCAGAAGAAATAACCATGAGATGTAACATTTTAAAACTTGGGTGCCAATATGAAACAAGGATTTTACACAATATGCTTACTTGGTACAGGGTCTTTCCTTCTCCATGTGCTTTACTTTGGAGCAGCTTCAGAACAACTTTGCAAATACATAGTTGCATTCCAGTGAAGTGACTAAGGTAATTTCATTCCAAGCCTTAATAAGTGTGTTTATTTTTTGTATGAACTAACGTAAGATTGTACTGAAAGCTGAGTCTTTGTTTCAACACTTTTGAGGAAACGTAGCTACTTACAAGGAAATTTATTTTTTACTGGAGGCCCAGTGCAGAATTCCTGCATGGCTGGGATCCCTCAGCCTGGCCTACGATCAAGGCCTATTGGGGGGGCTGGCCGGCGAGCAGGAGGGGCGGTAGTTGGTTGGCCAGCCGGGGGGAGGTGCCGTGGGCAGTTGGGGGGCCAGTCCGCCCGGAATGGGCTGGTCAGCTGCTGCACTGCGCGTCTTAGCGACCAGTTCTGGTTGTTCTGCCATTCTGGTCACTGGACTTTTATATATGTAGATTGCTGTTGGCATTTCCAAACCTGGAATTTCAGAACCAGAATGCATATTGTGGATTTAATGTCTGAAAGTAAAGTATTCTCTGACTTACTGAACCATATATTTGTAGCTGCAGTTTAGTCTCACTCTAAATCTATAGGTTAGAGCTCATGAGGTGTTTCTAAAATATAGAAACACATACTTCTGAACACAAACTCATTTAAAAGTGAATTTAAATAAGGTTGTACTAAACTGAAACTCTTTGACTCAGAAGTTGAATGTAGAGCCCACTACAGAGTCTACTGGACCATGGCTTAAAAATGCTAAGTTGAAAATTTCAGAAATAAAGAATTCATAAATTTTAAATTGCACGCTGTGATGAAATCTTGCTTTGCCCAGCCTGAGATGTGAATTCATACCTTTGTCTAGCATATGTGTAGTGTATATACTACCTGCTACTTAGTAGCCATGTAGCCATTTTGGTTATGAGAAAGAGAGAGAGAGAGAGAGAGGAGAGATAGAGAGAGAGAGAGATATTTATATAACTCATTACAAGACATTGTTATAATTTTGTATTATATTAATTGTCATTTATTTCTCACTGTGTCTAACTTATAAATTAAACTTTATCATAGTTATGTATGTACAGAGAAAACAATATATGTAGGGTTTGGTACTATCTGCGGATTCAGGGATCCACTGGGGGTCTTGGAATGTATCCCCTGGATATTGGCAGACTTCTGTATAGATTTTACACTTAAGAGCTTGTGTTGGCATATGGATAAATGCTACAGCATGAATGGTGTTATGGTTTTTCTGTATCATGTTGCAGTAGTAATAGTGTCCCATAAATACCTAGGTGACGGCTTTCTTTAGGATGGAGAAACAAATCATTAAATGAAGTGTAGTTCCTCTTCAGATTTTTGCCTTTGAAGCTTTTGACTTATTGGATTAAGTGACCAAGAGATTTCAATTTTTAAAGTACTGCTAAGAACTACAGCCAACTAGCATCAGGTATTGTAGAATCCTATGATTTTAAACCTAAGATTAAAAAAAAAAACTATCTGCTGAGCCAAACCGGTCAGGGCGAAACATAAATCTTACCCAAGATTTAGTGCAGTGTTTCTCACTTCTGGCCCTTTAAATACAGTTCCTCATGTTGTGACCCATAAAATTATTTTCTTTCTTTTTTACTTCATAACTGTAATGTATTGATTTACTCTGTAATACAGTTTCTCATGTTGTGGTGACCCCCAACCATAAAATTATTTTCGTTGCTACTTCATAACTGTAATTTTACTACTGTTATGAATCGTAATGTAAATATCTGATGTGCAGGATGGTCTTAGGCGACCCTTGTGAAAGGGTCGTTCGGCCGCCAAAGGGTTCGCGACCCACAGGTTGAGAACCGCTGATTTAGTGTAAGAGAAATTTGTCTGGCTGTCTGAAAAATGGCCTCTGTCTGAGTCTTGGACAGAGTACACAGTTAATAAAAGATGGCATGTTTGTGCTTGACGTATGAATGGAAATGAACTGCCTGCACCAGTGGTCGGCAAACTGCTGTTCACGAGCCACATGCGGCTCTTTGGCCCCTTGAGTGTGGCTCTTCCTATGCCTTAGGAGTACCCTAATTAAGTTAATAACAATGTACCTACCTATATAGCTTAAGTTTAAAAAATTTGGCTTTCCAAAGAAATTTCAATCGTTGTACTGTTGATATTTGGCTCTGTTGACTAATGAGTTTGTCGACCACTGCTGTAGAAGAAGGTAAATGCATTAGCTTACATTACTCTGCTCTAACTCATTTAATAATTTGAAGTTGCCCTCATTTTAGGGAAAACACAGCTATAACTATTTCTGCATACTTTTTAGGGGCATCCTTGAACATGTGAATTTGCTTTTCTCTATTTCTTCCCAAATCAAATAGATGCGAATTAATACCTGTTGTAAATTGAAAGGTCAATCTCAGTTGAATATGAGGGTTTTTGAAGTTTCCTGAGTAAGAAAATTGTAGTTAAAAAATAAAATACTTTAAGGAAATGTATCTGTCAAGTCAGTTACATTGTAAATAGTTCTTGAAACAATAATATTTATAAATTTGTTTTGTAAATCCTTCTGTGCCAGGACCTGCATTCTACATTTTACCTTGTCTTCTGATACCACATTTGAAGTGATAATTAGCTTTTGTTTTGTCAACCAATATATTTTTTTTAAAATATATTTTATTGATTTTCCACAGAGAGCAAGGGAGAGAGATAGAGAGTTAGAAACATCGATGCGAGAGAAACATCGATCAGCTGCCTCCTGCACATCTCCTACTGGGGATGTGCCCGCAACCCAGGTACATGCCCTTGACCGGAATCGAACCTGGGACCTTTCAGTCCGCAGGCCGACGCTCTATCCACTGAGCCAAACCGGTCTCGGCTTGTCAACCAATATTTACGTTATGTGCAGACTTGGTTTCTATCTTACAAAAAAAATGCAACCTGACACTTGCATAAAGCAAGGTAACTATAAAATGAATCATGTAAGTGCTAAGTGGTATTGCAATGAATCTATCTCAGAGGGGAAGTTTTTGACCTGTTTCAAAAGCTTTCCCTATTGGCAGCCATTAGTGCAAAGGAAAAGACCAGGTTTTGTAACCAGGACAGGTTTTGTAACCAGTGAGACACTCCCTGTAGTGCCTCATTGAATAATATTGTAACCATGCTGTTGAGGGCAGGTGGAAAAAATACAAATACCTTGTTAAAAAATTTGAAGCACAAGTAGAAGTCATTTTAGCCTTGTTTTTTTAATAAAAAAATGAGGTTTTAGTCTGTAATCACTGGGTTATATTTGTTATCTCTCTACAGCTTCATATATTTTTTTTAAATGTATTTTATTGATTTTTTTACAGAGTGGAGGGGAGAGTGATAGAGAGTTAGAAACATCTATGAGAGAGAAACATTGATCAGCCGCCTCCTGCACACTCCCTACTGGGGATGTGCCCGCAACCAAGGCACACGCCCTTAACTGGAATCGAACCTGGGACCCCTCAGTCCGCAGGCTGACACTCTATCCACTGAGCCAAACTGGTTCACGGCAGCTTCTTATGTTTTCATTAGAGGCATGGTGAATGAAATTTGTGCATGGGACGGGGGGAGGTGTCCCTCAGCCTGGCCTGTACCCTCTTGCAATCCGGGACCCCTCGGGGGATGTCCCACTGCCAGTTTAGGCCTGATCCCGGCAGTCAGACACCCCCTCACAATCCAGGACTTGTGGTTCCTAACCGCTCACCTGCCAGCCTACTTCATCACTCCTAACCACTCTGCCTGCCTACCTGATTGCCCCTTACTGTTCGCCTGCCTG